TCGTACCCGAAGGTTGCGTCATTCTCCGCACCAGCGCCACCCGTTCTCACGTGTAGCGAGAGCGTCTCTTCTTTTGACCTTGGGGCCCACCCAACCGACTGCTGCGGTGGGCGTGTGACGGAAAACAACCGGCTTAGCAAAACAATGCTCCGGTGGATTGTGTGTAGTACTCCTTATGCGGACGTTTAGAAATGAAAATTTTTGATCCCCTAATCCAGACAAGTCACACCACACCCGCACGAGGAACTTGCCCGCCTGGCGATCCTACGAGCACGGGCAACTTCCCCTGACTCGGCTCTCATTTCCCCTCCAAATCCAGAAGGGCGGGGTGCGCTTACACCTGCGCATGGCGGAGAATGGTGAATTCTTTGCGAGTTTTCGTTTCTCGAACAGCAAAATCGCTATCCGGTCGAAAAAGGCTCGAATTGCCTTACGTTCCATCGAGTTTCCACTGAAACACAAATGTTATTATCTCTAAAGTAAAGTTCTAATAATGCTTATTGTAATGAAGTATTTTTTATTTAGTGTTTATTGGTTCCTTGTAACTTGAATAAATACGCTCTGTGCTTGTTAAAGTACTATCATTTTCTTGGGCTTTCGAATTAATTTATGAATGATTTCTCATTAAATGTGTGTAGTTCATGCAATTGCATGTATTTTGACAATAGTCACATTTTTATCAAACAAAATATGCAGGTTTCATGAAAAAATATCAAATGTAAGGCAGACGTTTGCCTAACAAGCATATGTTTTAGGAACATTTTATGAGTAAATGTAACTATTTGGATATTTTTTACTCTTTTACCTAAAAGTTTTCTGCACATATTATACTATTAATTGCTTAGACCAGTTCGTATCAAAAGCTACATTCCGAGACCGCATTAGCTGAACGCATGGTGATATTTCGGGCGCGTTAGATCCAAAGCAGCTGGCTCCATTGATGGCTTCCATTCGAGATCTATTCACAGGGTGTCCAGGAGAGATGGCTTAGGGCACTGCAGTCCCCCTGACCGGGAGGTTCTACGTTCGAGTCCTGACGGTGGTAAGCTTTTCCACACTAGCTTGTCAGCAAGGATCGAATTAATTTGCTGTCAGGAGGAGGCTCTGATCGGTAGTTTTCTGTGGTATCTCCGATTAACACCAGGTGAATGCCAAGCTGCGCGCGATCTTGTCCTCTCCTATCCCCTTACACACACACACACACACACACACACACACATTAACACGCACTACACAAGCCTACATGCTGGGAGACTGTGGTGGGATATATCCGCTAGCCGACGGTAGGTCCCACCATACAGCGAGGGAATGATCACAGACTCCTCCCGAGTAAAACACACACTATACTTTCGGAAAAAATGACCCTGGTAGTTGACGTACTCGGAATCACTAAATCAGTCAATCAATAAATCAATAAAATCAGAGGGTGAGAGTCGTTCGCACGATCTGGCCTCAAAACATTATGCCCATTGACGAACGCCCTAATTTTTTTATTCTTTTCAACTTACTCCAAACATTGAATAATTATTCGAACGTAATGAAATATTTTAGTTGAGGATGATATTAAGAAGAAAATATGTTTTTCGAGATGGTACACGACAAGAACTAATTGTAAATCATGCATATTCAGTGTTGTAGCCTACCAAAATGTCTCGTACCCTGGCATGGAAATGTACTCGGCCACTAAGCACGCAGTGAGAGTACTGACGGAAGGACTACGGAAGGAGCTGGTCACTGCCAAGAGCAAAATTCGCGTCACGGTAAGTGGAGGGAGAAGCTTCTCGATATAATGCCCTTTTCACAGCACTATTTATGAAGCTTATTTTCGATGTTTTCTAGAAAGAGAAAACGTTACTTTTCCTATGTTTGCAGTTACAAATTTTTCAAATACTTCATAACTATCTTCAGAAAGAATTACTGATCATTTTGCAAAACAAACTTGTGTTTTGAAAATAAATTACATTCTGGCAAATATAACAAGAAATGAAGCTATGGAAAAGGTAGCAATGATTCAAATCGAACTAAACATTGAATGAATATTCGAACTAAATATTGATCATTTTTGTGAATCATAAAACTAAAACTGTTTTTTTCTATCTTTTATTGGTGAAAGACATGTCGAAAAAGAAATATCGTATTAGTAACACGACAATCTGTGTCTGTATTTAGTCGCTAAACATAGTGACATGTACTTGGCGTACGTAAATAACTAATTAGTTCTAAATTTATACTATTCACGAAGCCTAATGTTGTCTTGATTTAAAAAAATACTAAAACAAATAGCATGGTCTTTTTCATTTTTTTAAATTTTAAAAATTAAATTAAATTAAATTTTTAATTTTTCAAAATTTAAAAAAAATGCAAAATAATTAGCATGAACATTTGGAATGTTAAACCAAATAAATACGTATAATTTTATATCAAACTTAATGTCTGATTCTTTAAAGTTTGGTCAGTGGTTAATAGAGAATTGTACATTTTCTGTAGGTAAGTGTAGTGTATTTCCACGTAATCGTTTAATGAAATCGAAACAATTTTCAACTTCGATTCTTTTGCTTTCATTGTTCCCAGGAAGTAAGTCCGGGCTTAGTTCGGACGGAAATCTTGGAGCCTTTGGGCATAGACACTGAGATGATTTGGAAATTGCCACATCTGTTCCCGGAAGACGTTGCCAACTCTGTGCTTTACGCTTTGGCCACGCCCCCTCATGTTCAGGTAAATATTTACAGACAACAAATAACTGCTGACTGGGGCGGCGATGGTGTAAGCTTCGCATGTTCGCGGGTTTAAACCCAATCGAAGACGTGGATTTTTAAGAGCGAAAAAATCCTTCGTACGACTTCCTTCGGAGGGGAAGTTAAGCCGGCTGTTCCTTGTTAGTAGGTTTACTGACATGTAAAAAAATTCTCAAGCCTTTATGAAGACTCCGAGCTGAATTCAAATCGCCGGTTTCATTACCCATGAAATACCTTTCTCCTCTAGTTGGTGAAAGGAGCGTAGCGAAATTTGCGTGGCCGGACGAAGAGCTGGCCTCATGACCTGAATCTCGCCTCATAAAATAAGGCTTCAATTCAATCAGTAGTATTAAAAAAAAACGATTTCACAAGCAGAACGGAAAGAACATATATTACATAAGATTGATAGTAGATATATTGGTCGTTAGTAATGTTTTAAAATGACGTTATCTCTTCGTTAATATTTCCTCTAAGAAGGAGAATGATGGAAGAGGCAATTTGATTTCGAATAAAAAATGCATACTGAAAGAATACGCCAAATTAGTGATTTAAATATAGCGACAACAATTATTTAGTATTGAGACACTCGATAATGAAAACAAAAGATGAACACATAACCTAAAAGAGAATTTGAGTAGTATAAGATACTTATATACTAAAAAATTTCAACTGTCTCTTGCAAAACTCTTTACGTTAACCTACTTAAAACACAACAAATCGTTTCCATTTTTTGACTTTTAGGATCCACATCGGAGAAAACCTATGGCAGCCTTATACAATAATCACGTTTATAAACATCAATTTTCACTTCAATAGCGTTCAACAAAAAACTGATACCGTTATACCAATATCCTAAAATAAATGAATGAAGTGAGACAAACAAATAAAAATTAAAGCGTTTTAATCGTTTGATTTCAACATTTAGCATGTTTTCGCGAATTATTTTCCAACTTCAGTGGGTCTACAGACAAATGTGGAGATAACTCAATCTTTCCAAGGAAGAGATACAAAATGAAGAGAATGTAACATGAAATGATAAAATATTAAGAAAATGAAAACTGAGAGAAAATGAAATAAAATAGCATGGATTCAACTTTATCAAACTAAACTCTTGAGACAATTAAAGATTTGTCGGTGGTGAACTGAGAATTGTTCATTTTGTGTGATAAAAAACATATTATATGAACATGAGAATATATGCAGGAAAGGCGCAATCTAAAGCAAGAATAGTGAGATGGGAGAAGGTTGGAGGAGAAGTAGACGAACACTTGTCAATCAAAATATTTAAAATCGGACTACGGTTTTTTGACAATATTTAGTAAATCCTACAAAATCTGGACATTGGAACAATTTTGAAATGTTCATTTTCTTGTTTTAATTTCTTAAATGGAGAATTTTAAAATTGATGTTGGGTTCAAACGAGTGATTTTTATCAATCATATGTTGGAGACAACAGAAGTGTCAACATTTAATTTGATTTTTGATGTGTTAATTTGATCTGCAAGTCCATTTTTTACCCCTTTATACTACATAAGCAGAATTAGTTCCCACATTTTAGAAATAAATGCTAATTTTGTCAACAGAGGATTTATAACAGGGTATGAAATTTTAAAGGAAATTTGAATTTTTGTAGATAGCAACAATGTTAGGTTTTTAAATGTTAATCTATTTTTATTCCATGTGGGAGATGCAAATAAACTTCTTGTACTTTAAAGCTTCTTAAGTAGATGATACATTATAATATGTACATTCTATTTATATTTACTAAATTTCGTGTATTGAAAATTCGTTTTAAATACTTTAGATCTCGAATATATATGAAGGGGTATGTATGTGTGTGTTATTTTTTCTTAAAATAAAAGTGTACTCAAAACAGTTTCGAATAATATAATAGACGCACATCCCAGTTTGCATGATCATTTACTTGTGTTCTAATAATACTTATTGACAAAGCGAACTCCGTCATATACAGATAGACTTTAGACAATCAAAGTGGGAATATGTGTATTTGGTGCGCCTCAAACTGAAAAGCTCAAACTTTGAATTTGTTTTATTCACAGGTCCACGAGATGATACTGAAGCCCCTTGGAGAAGAGTGATTATTCGCAAAACTGGAGTGACTATTTATTGGAAAACTTACGTTAGTGTTCGACAAATATAAATGTAATCAAATTAAAATAATTTAAATAAACTTTCATTTTCTCTTCTTTAATGTATCGAGTTTCGAGTGTTTAACTGAACGGTCATTATTTCGAAGTCGTGCTGAATTTTTGTGAGAAAATTGTGATGTAGGTGCCTCGGAAACTCCAATAACGAAATTTTTTATTATTCCACAATATTTCTTGTCCCGGCCAACAACGGCTTAAATAGTTTTTTTCAAGTTGTTTAGATCAAAGAGCTATTGTACATCACTGTACTATCTCAGGCGTTTAGATAGAATATAGGACGTTTTAGAACCCCCAAAGCTTGATTTCTTCAAGAATCTAATGATCCTAAAATGAATAGAAAATTCTCAGTTTTCCAGCAGTGGAACGAGTTGCATCAAATAACCACACTAGGGGTGACCGACGGGTCGGAAGACATCTTGTTGCAAATAATGGATGGGCACAATCAGTAGGAGTGGTCATGGATAGGGCACATGTAATGAGAATTATTGCCTATAGACATTTAATTTTGTGTGTGTGTGTGTGCCTTTTATTAACGGGAAAGACTATGCTTGAGGAGCCCAGGAGCAACCGTAAGGAGACATCTCAGACAAATAATGCGACAGACAAAATTCAAGTACTAAATAAGGGCCCATGAATTATTAGAACTGTTTATATATAAGTTTAAAGTAGTTTAGAATAAAGTACTTTACCTAATGGCCAACATCCGTTAACACTAGACACATCCTGAATTTTCGTTTACACTTTCTGAAACATCAAAAAAGGTAGGGTCTATGTGAAAATGTGTTGGGAAATGGAGCAACGTTCAAATAGATGAATGTGAGGAAAACACGAGCCTCATTTTTTGTTTTCTTCTGTTTTTTAATTTTTTTTTTAAATAAAGAATTTGTAACGAAATAAACTATAAAGAAGAAAGTCCAAAAAATAGAGAAAGAAAAAATGGAACCACATAAAAATTAATAAATAGTACATGATGACACGAAAATGTATTATTACACATTACATCGAGATTCACGCAGCCTTTTTATACGACTAATGATAACTATTGATATTTTTTAACCAGAGATATTAAATATATTTATTAAATAGTGATATTTTTAGATTTAACGGTTACGGTTACAGCTGGCATGCAGGATCCAGCCAACGCCACCTACCGGACAGCCACCTAATGCTCCAGTTAGCATTGGTTAACATAAGCACAGTTGACTTCAAAATAGTAGTACGAGTTAAGTTTGAATTCAAAATGTAGAGAAGACCAGGACCTTTCTTTTTCCGTATACTAACTTAGTAACTGATTTAGACCCGATAAGGTGCTTCAGAATTCTGAGTTGTGGAAACCAGAGAGGGCAGTCACCACCTGACAGGTCGTCTCGGCCCAGTAATAAACAAACTCTAACGAAACATTTAATAAAACGTTAATTATCTTCCAACTGTAAACTTCTCTGTGATTGGTCAAGAATCTGTAGCTAGAATGAAGCTGTATCATATTAATTCATTATCCAGTGATATGCAGCCATTTAATAGAGTATATATCATTGGGAGGTGAACAGTTTATATTTAATCAATTTAATTGTTCAAATAGAAATGGTGACAATATTATATATTGTGGTGTCAAAGAAAGGTGAACAACAAAGGTGGTGACGGAATGTACGAGACATAGGTAGTTAGTAATACGAGCTCCATACACTGTATTAGTAGGCAATCTTAAGTGACTATATTTTTCATTATTTAATTTTAAGCACAACAAATCACTTTTAATTTACGAAATAAGTAGTCAGACCATGGAGCTAGAATGCGTCACAGCTCTCATGGGTAGTTAGGTGAATGTGGATCAGACGAATGTATTCGTTTTTTCTTTAATGTAATGGTCAGTGTTATGAAGACTTCATGAAAAATCGATCACTTCAGCTTTGAAGCACTTGTGACGCAGACAAAAATGTGCTAAAAGAATATCAAATTATAACATTTGCTCACTTTGAACGTCTGCAAAGTATTCTCTCCCCGCTCTTCCTCTTACACTCTAAGATCAGCACTGCACTCAGACTCCTCTCTCTCACACACACACACACACGGTCTCCTTCAGTGCACGCAACGCAGCACCGCACCGATATTTCAAGGTTGTCCCCAGTTTAAAACAATCAAAAACATGAGGTGTGGCATGATTTCAAACCGATAAACGATTTACTTTAAAAAATACAATCGTATTCCTACTATTATGCAAGTCAAGTACAAGAAAGAAGTACTTCCAGACTGGTCGCCTCATCATATCTAAACACCAATTGTCATACCTCTAAACATGAGGCGATTAAATGTCCTGTCCTTACGTCAGCGCACGGATAAGTTGGATAAACAGAAGTTTGAAAAGGTCCACTAACGCAGGGAGACACAGAGAATCACCGAAGAGCATAATACTTTTTTATACTTCTTATAATTGCAATGCCTAACTTTCTTACAATCACTACAGGATGATTTTGCATTAATATACCGATGTTTCATATGTAAGTGATCAGAGAGTTTTTTCTCCATACATTTTTAATCTTCGTCTACTTATTACACTTTTAGTAGGGGGCAGGCCTGACCTTTTTCAGCTTAAGCACTGACAGGGAATCATCTACGCGATTTCCGAGTCCGCGTCGTGCAGGATTTTCTACACTGACTAAGTATTTTTCGACTCTAGCTTGCTAACTAGGTCGAATTCAGCCGCTGTCAGAAGGAGAATTTTAGGCAAGCCCACAGCTCTGATACCTGTAGGTTTCTCGTGTTTCTCCGGTCAACAACGGCCAGGTGAATACCGCAGCAGTATCCCCTAACAAACGGGCCTCCTTCCTTGTCCTAACAATCAGTCCGTCCCTTACTTACATCACACTAACACTTACATGCCCGACACTACCTTACATCAATGCCGAGAGACGCGGCCGTGGGATGTTTTAGAGCTTGTCCCGGCTGGTGGCGGTGCCTCGCTGGTAGGGTAGGATACTTTTTGGGCCCGATACAATTTCGATGGCCGGCGTTATACTGGAGTCGTCCGAACGCTCGATATCCAGCAGCATCAAGTTCAAGCGCATTTGTCGCGAGAGAAAAACATGTTCTACACTTACGGGACTTAATGAATATAGCAATTGATGCCCTCGGAATCAATCAAACCGACAGCTCAGATCTCGCCAATCCATGTAGGCAACTGCATTGATGTGATAAAACTTGCACTATACACAGTTGCTTGCCTTTTCCATCTCTTCAGTGACCTTTATCAATACCGCATTATTTAGGCTAAAAGAACCTAACTTCAATTCAACACAGTTCTCTATAACTTTATATCATGTTTAGAACAATGTTCATAACACGTCAGAAATATTGGCAAAATTACAAAAATACATCTGTAACACTTACACTATTTTATAACAACTGACTAAATGCCGGAAATACAAAGAGCGAATACACAAGTAAAATAATTTCTCTTGCATAACTTCTCTGAAACAATAATTATGGGTGTATTAAGATTTCAAAAAGAATAAACGTTAAAGATGTCATTTAATGTTTTCGCATATATATTGTATTACTAGCAATGATTTTCCAACCCCTATGTAGAAACTAATAAGTAGTTTGCTAAGCTGAAGCTGTTTCCAGATGTAACGTGTTTGTATCCACATAAGGTACACGTGTTTTCACAAAGTGTTTGAGGCACGCTAGGTATTTCATAGCTCCGTAACAATAAAAGTCTTTACAAATTTCACGTTGAAATAAAATCAGGGTAATTATTTTACAAGTCTGTTGACGTTTGGTTCTTCAGCATTAATATTTCTATGACATAAGTAACATCTGATAGGCATTGACAATTGGTCCAAATTATACTTCAATATTTTCGAAGAATATTATTAGTTCAATATAATCACTACAAAGGTAATAATAATAACCGTATGTCACTTATCTCTTACACATTCACCACAAATAATTTTCCTAGTGAAATTGCGACTTCTAAGGAGTCCCAATCAAGTAGTATAAATTCTTTATTTAGTATGTATTTGGCACTTTGGGTCGATAGACCTAATGTGTCCCATATGTCTGGGTCTAGTTAATATCCCAGGCTTGGAGGTAAGAGCAACATGTGGCAAACATGACGTTTCCCCTTCACTGTAACTAGCGAAATCCTCCCATCTGAGCTTTTCTTCGTCACGCACAAGGAAATGAGACGATTTTAAAAGAAAAATACAACTCTAGTTTTGGCTACATAGGGAATAGAATCCAAGACCACATCATCGGAAGCTAATATGCTGCCCATGAGCCATCCTACAAGCCTTTATCTAGTACCTACATAAAAATCATAAAAATGTTGACGATTTACAAGAATAACAATTGGAAGGGTAGAATATTGTGACAAATTACAAATAATGTTGATGAAAGGCATACGCTATTTAGTATTCATATTGTAAATACTAGTAAAAATTATAAATTAAATATTATTTTTTTGAAATTTTAAGAATAAAATAAATTTCAGACGTAAATATAAGTAGCATACACGTCGCCTACGAGAGTCGAAAAGATGAAACGCAAAACGATACGAAAGTTGTCTTAGCAACGACAAACAACACAAAAAAATTTTATTTAATGGTCGAGAAATTTAGAAGAGATGAGTAATTAATGAGAAGAGATGAAATAAAGATAGCCATTTTCAACGGGAATGCGGAAGTTGCTTTTTCACGGCTTGCCTATTTAATTAAAGCCTATTTTTGACGGCTTTTCCGTTATTATTAGGTTATCGATATACACTGAAACAAAATTAAATGACAAATTATAGCATACAAAATAGATCACACAAACAGTTAATGACAATAAAGATGTCAAAACTCTCTATTATTAATTAATTCATGTCCTTGAAAATAACATATTTCCTCTTCTTATCATATCAGCAATACGTCATCCATTTCTGAGGAAAATATTTATGGCCGTTTAATACACCATATGAAAATCTGTTTTGCAG